GGCTTGGGGAAATTGGCTCCCCAAGCCACCAGACGGAGAGCAGAGAGGGAGACCTGGCAGCTTGGAGGACTTGGCAGAGTGGGAGGCCATGGGACGGAGACAGAGCAGGAAGGAAAACCAAGATCACGGGAGCACCAGGAATTCTGGGAATAGTAGTTTTGGTGGCAGCCCCAGGACTGGAAGTGGAAGCCCAGAGTGCAGGGAGCACCAGGAATGCTAGGAATCATAGTTCTGGTGGCAGACGGATCTCCTAGTCGGCAAACTGCAGCTCGCGAGGCACATGCGGCTCTTTGGCCCCTTGAGTGTGGCTCTGCTCTTTATTCATTTATCAATTGAATACCAAAGAGCTGCATATGGCTCGCGAGCCGTGGTTTTCCAATCACAGTCCTAGATACTAGAGCAAAGTGAGCCTGGAGCAAGTTACTGTTGTGGTGGGGGATGGAGGGAAAGCAAAGGTGAGAGGCATAAGTAAAATCAGTGTCTAGGAAAAATTAAAGGAAAGATACCCTAAAACTTCCAGGAAATCTTTACCAATGAAGCAAAGAAAAAAAATGCCTCGGGAGAACCAAGATGGCGGCATAGGTTAACGCCGGAGTTTGCTGCCTTGAACAACTACTTCAAAAGTGAAACTGAAAAACGGAAAGGACATCACCCAGAACCACAGAAACGCTGGCTGAGTGGAAGTCCTACAACTAGGAGGAAAGAGAAACGCATACGGACACTCAGAGGAGGCGCAGTGCTGAAGTCAAATTCTGAGGTGCAGAGTGTGCGGAGCGGGCTGGCGGCGGAGGGCGTGGTTGGCGTTTTCAATCGGGAGGGAGTCGCAGACTCTGAGCTCCAGATCTGGGCGAGTCTTTAGGGACCCAGGCTCAAACGGGAGAAGCGGGACTGTCTGGCTTCGGTCAGAGCGAGTGCAGCTTTCTCTCTGAGGTTTGCAGCGAGTGCTGGGACTCAGAGAGGCAGAGCCCCTGGGGACAGGACTGAGAGCCGCCAAAACTGCTCTCTCCGGCCCACCCTGTTGATCCTGTGCGACCTGCCCCGCCCAAGCCCTGCACAGAGGCATTTGCCGGGTAGCCTCAGGCAAACGCCAGATTAGAACCTCCCTAGAGGACAGAAGTTCTCTCACTGCAGACACAGCTGATTCTCATAGCCACTTGGCCTGGAGGTCAAACCCTCCCTGGTATTAGCTACAACAATCAAGGTTTAACTATAAGACTTCGCACAAAGACCACTAGGGGGTGCACCAAGGAAGCAAAACAAAATGCGGAGACAAAGAAACAGGACAAAATTGTCAATGGAAGATATAGAGTTCAGAACGTCACTTTTAAGGTCTCTCAAGAACTGTTTAGAAGCCGCCGATAAACTTAATGAGATCTACAAGAAAACTAATGAGACCCTCGATGTTATATTGGGGAACCAACTAGAAATTAAGCATACACGGACTGAAATAACGAATATTATACAGACTCCCGACAGCAGACCAGAGGAGAGCAAGAACCAAGTCAATGATCTGAAATGCGAGGAAGCAAAAAACACCCAACCGGAAAAGCAAAATGAAAAAAGAATCCAAAAATGCGAGGATAGTGTAAGGAGCCTCTGGGACAGCTTCAAGCGTACCAACATCAGAATTATAGGGGTGCCAGAAGATGAGAGAGAGCAAGATATTAAAAACCTATTTGAAGAAATAATGACAGAAAACTTCCCCCACCTGGTGAAAGAAATGGACTTACAGGTCCAAGAAGCGCGGAGAACCCCAAACAAAAGGAATCCAAAGAGGACCACACCAAGACACATCATAATTAAAATGCCAAGAGCAAAAGATAAAGAGAGAATCTTAAAAGCAGCAAGAGAAAGAAACTCAGTTACCTACAAGGGAATACCCATACGACTGTCAGCTGATTTCTCAACAGAAACTTTGCAGGCCAGAAGGGAGTGGCAAGAAATATTCAAAGTGATGAATACCAAGAACCTACAACCAAGATTACTTTATCCAGCAAAGCTATCATTCAGAATTGAAGGTCAGATAAAGAGCTTCACAGTTAAGGAAAAGCTAAAGGAGTTCATCACCACCAAACCAGGATTATATGAAATGCTGAAAGGTATCCTCTAAGAAGAGGAAGAGGAAGAAAAAGGTAAAGATACAAATTATGAACAACAAATATGCATCTATCAACAAGTGAATCTAAGAATCAAGTGAATAAATACTCTGATGAACAGAATGAACTGGTGATTATAATAGAATCAGGGACATAGAAAGGGAATGGACTGACTATTCTTGGGGGGAAAGGGGTGTGGGAGATGCGGGAAGAGACTGGACAAAAATCGTGCACCTATGGATGAGGACAGTGGGTGGGGAGTGAGGGCGGAGGGTGGAGCGGGAACTGGGAGGAGGGGAGTTATGGCGGGGAAAAAAGAGGAACAAATGTAATAATCTGAACAATAAAGATTTAATTAAAAAAAAAAGAAAAAGAAAAAGAAAAAGAAAAAAAAATGCCTCTATTATTCTGTGAGCAACAAACCAAACTGAGTTGGGGTCTCAGACAATTCACTCATATGATTGCAAAGACAGACAGAAACTCCCGGATTGGAGAGGGCTCCCCTGAGGGCTCCCAGATTGGAGAGGGTGCAGGTCGGGCTGAGGGACCCCCCTACACTCCCCAGTGCATGAATGTCATGCACTGAGCCTCTAGTCTATACTAATAAAAGAGTAACATGCTAGTTAGACTAGACATCTTCCGGATGTCATTCCAGACGTCCTTCCTGACAAAGCCGGGGGTGTGCCAGCCTGCAAATTGCCTGAGGTGGTCCCATGCCCAGGCCGACCCCGCCTCCCAGCGGGGACTCCCACCCCAATCGGGGGAATGGCTAGTCTGCAGACCACCCGCAGCCCCCCCCCCTGGCTGGCCCCACCTCCCTGTGGGGACCCAACCATGATCAGGGGTGTGGCCGGCCTGAAAACCACTGGTAACCTCTTGCCCAGCCCGGCCTCACCCCCCAGCAGGGACCCCCACCCCAAACGGGGGCATAGCCAGCCTCCAAACCCTATGGCCCCTTGTCCCGGCCGGCCCCATCTCCCATTGGGGACCCCCCCACCCAGATCCAGGGCCCGCTTCAGGGAAGGCCAACCAGCCCCCACCCATGCCTCTATCCTGTATAATAAAAGGGTAATATGCAAATTGACCCTAATGACAGGATGACCACTGGACTAGTCACTATGAGGTGCACTGACCACTTCTTGGTCCCTTCCCCTGGCCATCAGGCACCCGATGGTGAATGGGGAACTGGGGGTGGGTGGCAGTGGGGGCTGGGACTGGCTGCGGGCAGCTGCAGAAGATGGCCCTGATCGCAGGCCAGGTGTACGGACCATACCCATGCACGAATTTCGTGCACCGGGCCTCTAGTCTATATATATATAAAAGGCTAAGCGACTGGCTAACTGGCCAGTATCTATAATGCACAATGACCAACAGGGGGCAGATGCTCAATGCAGGAACTGCCAAGCAACAGCAACTTTGCAGAGTGCTTTCTCACACTCCAGGATCCCTCGGGGAATGTCTGACTGCTGGTTTTGGCCAGGCTGAGGGACTCCACCTGCTGGAGGGACCCTGCTCACTCCACAGATGCCCTTGGGGCCCCAGCACTGCCTCAGGTGCAGCTGGCCAGGGAGGGACTGTGAGAGGTTGGATCCAGGGCAGGTCTGGCCTGTCTCGCCCAGTCCCGCCCCGCCAGCCACCTTCTAATTAATTTCCTTTCAATGTGCATGAATCCATGCACCAGGCCTCTAGTTTGAATATATTCATTTATTAACTCATTGAAAATAATAATTAACCTGTCACATTAATATACAGCAATGAGCAAAAGTAGGTTTACAGTTGTAAGTACACGAGAGTTTACTCTTATATTACTAACTAGAAGCTCGGTGCACAAAATTCGTGCATAGAGGGGCGGTTCTCTCAGCCCAGCCTGCACCCTCTCCAATTGGGGACTCCTTGAGGGATGTCTGACTGCCAGTTTAGGCCCGACCCACAATCTGGGACCACTGGCTCCTAACTGCTCACCTGCCTGCCTGCCTGATCACCCCTAACTGCCTTTGCCTGCCAGCCTGATCACCCCTAACTGTCCTCTCCTGCCGGCCTGGTTGCCCCTAACTGCCTCTGCCTGCCAGCCTGATCTCCCCTAACTGCCTGATCTTGCCATCAATGGCCCTCCTCTACTGGCCTGATCTTGCCCCCAACTGCCCTCCTCTGCTGGGCAATTTGGTTCTGATTGGTCGGTTTCTATGCCAGTCAGCATCAGAAGCTCCACCTAGGCATCCATTGGCTCCTCACAGCACCCACATTTGGTTCTGATTGGTCAGTCAATATGCCAGTCAGCATCTCTGGGTCTATCTCTGGGTCTGATCAGAGAGGCAGGGCTGAACAGCAGCCCCCATGAAGGCTGGGAGAGAAAGAAAGGCCCAGCTGCTGAAGAAGCCTGGAAAGAAAGAGGGAGAGAAAGAGAGGCAAGTACTGATCAACAGCTGCCACTGAGGCTGTGGATCAGACCCTGCCTCTCCCTCTTAGTCTCATTTCCCTGGGCAGTCAGTGCTGGGTCGCCACAGCAACCCAGCACTGACTGAAGGACTTCCAGGTTGGTCAGCCTTCGGTCATGATCGGTCATTACGACCCTGGGCTTTTATATATTAGGATTATTGTATTGTTTTCCATACAAACAATTATAAACCTACCTTTAAACACCCTGTACTATATTTTTATGAAAAATAAGATTAGTTTTCAAAAGAAAAAAATAGAAAAGTATCATTATTACATTTTAGTACATTTTTTATCTGGTTTATAGAAGATGGGTCGATTCTCACATTTGCTTCTTCATTTATCTGTTGGGATCTTCTTTTGGGTGAAGTAAATTAAGAAAATCCAGCTGTACACAGGCACACAATTGGAATGTGGAGGAATATTTTAATAACCTTTTCATATAATTGTGGACATTCATTGACAACTCACCAAAACTCGAGACAATCGGGAGTGTTTTGTTGTTGTTGGTTGTTTTTTTTTTCACTTCTCCAGTCAAGGAAAAGAAGACTTAATTGAGGCCCCAGGGCCACGGGGTTCAGGAAGAAGGCCGTCGTGTGGGCCTGAGGAGGTGGTAGAGGGGCCTTATTTACCCTTCTCCTCAAGTTGTTGGTGTGGCCGCACTTCTTGTGGCAATAGATTGTGCAGGGGTGCAGGTGGCCGCAAAACTTGAGGCAGATTGTCTTGTTGCAGTTGTACTTCTGGGCAAGTTGGCAGAGGGAGAGGTCAATGATGCCACCCTGCAGAGGAAGCACCAAGTGAAGGGTGGACTCTTTCTGAATATTGTAGTTTGAGAGAGTGCAACCATCCTCCAGCTGTTTGCCCACAAAATCCCTGTCTTGGACTTTAGATTTGACATTCTCAATGGTGTCACTGGGCTGGACCTTGAGGGTGATGGTCTTGCCAGTCAGGGTCTTCACAAAGATCTGCATCTCTGTGTCTGCTGGGGAGGTTGCTCTGTCTTCTTGAAGAGAGAGAGCCAATTAGAAGTTTCTTAGTTATAATGTAGAATCTGAAGTTACACAGTGAACCTTTGTACCTTGTTACCTTAAAATCCATTGGTCTTTCTTTTACTTTGAATGGAACATTTTTGTAATATCACACAGAGGTCACAACAATATGTGGGTCTTCCAAATGTGGGCTCATTTTGTTATACAAGATTTAAAAAATCACATTTGTAAACACCGCCATTGATTTAATTGAAAAGTCTTTAAGGATTGAAAAGCTATTGTTAGCAACACGTAACATCTTTGAGGTGACACATTTGCTTTGTTATCTTTGAAAACATATTAGCCCAGTTCTTAATGCTGAATAACCATAGTTTGTCTGCCAGTGTTTCTATTAACTGCGGAAAACACACACACAATTGACTCAGCTAGTTCAGGTTGCAACTCAAGCACTCACACAAGTGCTTTTTCTTGATATGCATACCTTGATACACAGTGTAAGGACTTTTATGCTACACCTCATTTTGCCTCACACAATTTAAAAAAGATGTGTGCTCAAGGGGGCAATTTAATACATTTAATAATGTGCGTGCTTCCTCTAGGATCTTCCTAAGTGGACTTGGCCTTTTTGCTGCCACCACCTTGATTAGTGCTAAGGCAGTAGTCCCTCTCACCCACTGATGCTCTTGCACCAACACAGAAAAAAAAAGCAAGTGCTTCAGTATTGTCATAAAAGGTTTGACCTTGCCAACCTGGGGACCTGTAAGAGGATGGTGGACCCCACTGTGAGAAGTGCTGTCCTCAGGCATGTTCCTTAATCTCTCTAAAGCAAGAGCAAAGCAGTTTTGAGAATTAAACGAAGTATTATCTAACAAGAAATAATGTACGCACAGCATGTAGTAGAGTGCCTGGTGTATAACAAGTGTTTATTAAATTTAGCTGTTGCTTTTCAACTGCTGATATTGTGAGGGTACATCATTTGTAACAGTAGTAATGATAATAATACTCCATTTTTCTCCACAAACTCCTTCCTCTGGCAGATCTCCATTTCAGTTAACTGCTCCATCTGGCTCTCTGCGGCCATCCTCTGCGCTGCGGTCTGCATGCTGGCTCCCTCACAAGCACTATTGATCTGGCCTCTGCGGAGCCTTCAGAGACATTCCTTCCCTGTACTCCTGTTGCTACTACCACCTCAAAGAACCTGATTTTGTGGAAACACTGCTGTTAATGGCAGCTCTGGCTATTGGTATTTGACCTACCTGAGACTCAGTTTACTCATCTGTTTATTCCGTGGGAACCAGAACAGTCTCTCTCTTTGTGAGGGTTAAATAAAATGGTATATTTAATAGTAACAGGCAGAATGCCCAGCTATAGCATGTGTACAGCAAGTTTCCCTTTCTTTCTCCTTTTCTCATGGTTTTGTTTTGAAAAGTCTTCCTTCTTTTCCTTCCCCTCTCCAATATATCCAGACCATTACCACTGAATTAATTTTCTCACAGCATAACTTTTTCATTAAATCAATACCAGCACCCCTAAATGGGGTATTCATTCTCACTGGCTGTCTGATAAGGTTGCAGACTCAGTCTCGCAGTGGGGAATGTTGACACATCTTTCCCATCTCTCCACTGCTGCACTCAGCAGAAGGTCAATCTTCTTAGCATGGCATTCAAAGTCCTCCCTGAAGCGGCCAGACCATGCCAAACCGAACTCATCAGCCTCTAAACCCACAGTTCCCCTGACTTCCATGTCCCTGCCCGCCCTGCTCCCTCTGCTGCATGCCCTTCTCCCCTTCTCCAACTGATGACTGCCGATCTGTTCTTTAACCCTCAGTTCAACTGCCTCATGTGTGTGAGGCCTTCTCCTATCCCCAAGAGGGTGTGCTGCACTTGTCAAATTTCCTTCAGGTGCTTCTGAGGGCACTTGCTGCGTTCTACATGTGCTCATGGCTCTTTAGGTATACCTACTAGAGCAGTGATGGCGAACCTATGACACGTGTGTCAGAGGTGACACGCGAACTCACTTTTTTGGTTGATTTTTCTTTGTTAAATGGCATTTAAACATATAAAATAAATATCAAAAATATAAGTCTTTGTTTTACTATGGTTGCAAATATCAAAAAATTTCTATATGTGACACAGCACCAGAGTTAAGTTAGGGTTTTTCAAAATGCTGACATGCCGAGCTCAAAAGGTTCGCCATCACCGTACTAGAGTCTGATCAATCCAGGAAAATGCATTTCTCTTCCCATTTTCAGTAGGTCACATGAGGGCTCCACTCCTGAAGTCACTCTGACTTGTTTCTTGATGGATAAATGAAAAAAGTTGACTCATTTTGTTGAGCTTGTGAACCAGAATCCTACATATGAAAGCAGCTGTTGTAAAATGAACAACTACCTATCGGCAACAACACCAAAACACCAACACTTTCATGTGGGCTGCGGAATGTTCACAGCCCATGCCATCTTTTCTTAATAAAAGTCCAGTGCTCCTGTGAGTATGCCGGTTAGGAGGGATTCCACAGGAATATTTACTGAGAACAGGAGGACATGTGATTCTAGAAAGGAGAACAAAATAGCCTAGGGGCTACTCTATTTCTGATCAGAAGTTTCTAGGAGATAGCTCATTTTAATTTATTTATTATTTATTTATTTATTGTACAGAAGCCTTTATACCACTCTGTGTCTTCCAAAGAACAGAACATTGAATGGCAATAGCTTTGCATTTCTGGGCTTATCCTGGGGGCCTGTCAAGATGGCAACCTCTGTTGTATTTATTTCCTGGATCTTGGTTCAGGGACTGTCAGTAAGAATCCTGTGGGTAAGCCTCTTCTGGCAAAATCTTGGTTGAAAGTCTGACTAGACAGACTGGGTTTTGCCTATAATTTGTGAACAGCTTAGGAGCACAGTGACATACGCCCCTCTAGGGCAGTGGACAGACCTCCTTTTTTATGCATCAGAGCCTTCTTCCTAAGCTCCTGCTGCCAAGGAGGCTGAGCCACTGGATCTACTCTGATGAAGGTTTTTGCTGGGTCTTTCTTCCTCTCACTCTTCTACCATAGGGGGCAAAGGTTCTCTTGTTTCCCTAAAGGTTATAGCATCAGGGACAGTGACTAGTTGCTTTCCCATTACCAGGCGTGCACTGACAGTGTGGGACATGATTAGCAACTGGTTAAATAGATCTGATGATGATCAAAATTATTTTATGCCTTTGAGACCCTAATTCAGACATTAGAATCTCTTGTCAGACCATTGGCCTGATTTTAAGTTTGGAAAATAATCCCTAAGGCCACTAATAATTCATAAGGCCACTCCTGTGTGTGTGTGTGTGTGTGTGTGTGTGTGTGTGTGTGTGAGAGAGAGAGAGAGAGAGAGAGAGAGAGAGAGAGAGAGAAAAGAGAAGGGCCCCTTGAAGCCATGTGAGGGCCACTGAGGGTGCCCAGGAGGCCTCTTCCAAGTTACTGGGTGAGGCATCAGGCTAGAAAGGACCCGGTAAGACACCTGCGCCACCTTATCCCACTCCCCCCACCCCCGCCACTCCTTTGGCCTGAGTTGTGTCCTGCATGCCATGCCTCTGCCTGGGATGTCTTTCTTTTCTTTCTGAACCCAGGACCCTCCTATTTCTCCTTTAAGACCATGTAATAGTTACTTCCCCCTTTCTGACCAATTCCCAGGGCCCTGACAGACCTCGTCTTTCCTTCTGTAGTTTCCATCTATCTGTACTATAGCATTTATCACTTGGCAGTGAAATTACTTATATTGTTGCCTCCCTAATGAGACTGCATGTTTCATGCTTCTTGGTATTTTCCTGAGAGACTGGCAATGGGCATGCTAGCAAGAGCGTGTTCACTATGGGTTGAATGAGTGAATGGAGTCCAGACTTTGGTCCTGCGGGGATTGGGCCTAAACCAGCAGTCAGACATCCCCTGAGGGGTCCCAGATGGAGGAGGTTCCAGGCTGGGCTGAGGGACAACCCCCCAGTGCATGAATTTTGTGCACCGGGCCTCTAGTAGTAACCATAAGATCACAACCATCTGTTTAGAACTTGTTTATTGGATTATTTCGCTATCTATGGTTTTATGCATATTTCTTCATGTTCTTTAGTATTTAGAAAATTCTTTTGAAAATGACCAGTGTCTTAATCATGTTGCAATAGTGACTCCTTGCTTCATGCCTGTGCAGGGCAAGGGCATTCTTTCCGGGGCCAGCATGAGGGCGGGTGAACTCCAGGACAACAGAGCTATGGCCTGCTCTTTCTTCATAACATAATCTTAGAGTACATAAGGCAGTTATTTGTCTTTTTTTTTTTTTTTTTGCTAATGGAAGTTGTCCCCTTGTAGTTGGTATTCCTGGTAGTAACAGCAGCACCAAGGTAATCAAGCCCTTTCCATGCATCTGTAATGTCCTCATGAGCACGTTTTGTTCCAGGGAACTCTCGACTTGTAATGGGGAAAGAGAACTCCCAGCAAGTCCATTTATCATAGGACTGCAGTAAGTGAAAGGTAATCTTTTTTAAAATGTGAGTTATGGTGCTCTGTGATGTGCCATTTATCCATGTCTGTGTGGAAAGGAAGAACGCAGGCGAGTTTCTTACTTACATAGACTGTGCTCTCCCTGTGTTTAGAGCCCCTCTCTCTCCCTGCACCGCACAGTGACACTCTGACATGACAGATTTTGATGAAAACATTCAGCAGCCCAGAGTTGCTTGTTACCAAAAGTGGAATTGGTATTTGAGCACATACTTGGCAAGCAAGCTATTTAATTATTAGGCTTCTATGTCTACTTAGACCCACCTTACTTTCATGTTTAATATCTAATGTGAGACATATTTTCTTGGAAGAAAGCTGAACAGCTTCAGAAATTGTACACCTTCTAGAACTCTTAACCAGGAAGGTAAATTTTAAAAGAAGGAAAAAAGGGACCAACCATAAATTTGAAAGGACTCAATGAGAAAATGAAAGGAAGGATTCTTACATTTCTTTCCCTCCCTTAAAAATGGTATTGATGTGTAGCCACAAACCTTGGCTGAATGGAACAAAATGGCACTATTTACACTCACACAAAATGGGTAATATGCACAACATTCAGCTCCTAGTGTTAAGAAGTCAATATAAATCAGAAAGAGAAAACCAATTGTCTCCAGACTTCCTCTTTTTAAAAAACCTGCAGCAGCTTTTGCATGGACAAATGACAAGGGTGTCCTAATGTACTTGAGGTCATATTCCTACCAGCATTCAAGTTTATAGGGCCCATGACAACAAACATTTATTCAGCACCTCTTCTCTACCTCCCCACATCTCACATATATTCTAGGGCCTAGTACTGCTCTTCCTTTGATGTTTAGCAACTGGGTGAGTGTTACAAGTCCCCCTGGAAGATACTGGTGTTTACAGACTACTTAGCATAGTCCCAGGTACATAGTAGGCATCTAAAACATATAACCAAGTGTGAAGGGAAACATGGATAGGACCTTCAGGAAGTCGTGGTTCTAAACTCAGGTAGGCGATGAGCACTTGGCCCTATCAACTTGCTAAGACATCAATGAGTCAAGGCTTGGAGGAGGCACAGCGGTGCAGAACCATGAGAGGGGTTTGCAGTCCTTCCTTTGTAATTGCTGTCCTCTTCAGTCCACCACACAACCTAAGGGGCACCATCACTGCCAGGACTACCATTCTTCCTAGCGGGAGGGAGCCCCTGGCCAGTCCCGCCGTTTCCGCTGTCAACTGACTTCTGTGTATTACACAATTAATTAATTTTTTTAAAAATATATTTTATTGATTTTTTACAGAGAGGAAGGGAGCGAGATAGAGAGTTAGAAACATCGATGAGAGAGAAACAACGATCAGCTGCCTCCTGCACACCCCCCACTGGGGATGTGCCCGCAACCCAGGCACATGCCCTTGACCAGAATCGAACCTGGGACCTTTCAGTCCGCAGGCCGACGCTCTATCCACTGAGCCAAACCGGTTTTGGCACAATTAATTAATTTTTATCAGACGTTTTGAATTCCTTCCTTCCTCCTCCATTATAGTGAATGCTTAAAATTACATTTATATGAAATTACATTTACACAAACTTCTATTAAAGCCATGTTTCAGGCCTAAGCTACTGGCCAAATCCATTAAAAATGGATATTAAGTCCGGGCAGCGTGACTCAGTGGTTGAGGGTGGACCTATGAACCAGGAGGTCACAGTTCTAGTCTGGCCAGGCTCGATCAGCTTGATCCCCAGTAGGGGGTGTGCAGGAGGCGGCAGATCAATGATTCTCATTGTTGATGTTTCTCTCTCTCTCTCTCTCTCCCCCTTCCTCTCTGAAATCAATAAAAATATATATTTTTAGAAAAGGATATTAAGTAAATTAGTTGAGCTGATTAAAAACACCTTCATCAAAGTAGAACACTGGTGCCAACAATAGCGAAGAGTTGAATTACTGTTTTGAAACAGCAGGTGGTACAATAATAGAGAGGAAAAGTGACTCCCCTGCATCACTTTGTGGGGGGGGGGGGGTCAGATGGGGAACTACTGATGTATTGCTAGAGATCCAGGAAAAAGAGCTGACGGAATGAGGGTAGAGGATGGGGCTCAGCAAGGGAGAGGGAGGGAGGCGGGAGCCCAGCTCAGACGCCTGGAAGGAGGGTGCTGAACGGCCACCTCTGCTCAGAAAGGGCCAGGCCGGCGCTCCCGCTGCCGGCCGCCAGAGGGCGCGGGCGGAACAGGCGGCGGAGGTGGGGGGGGCGCGCGCTGAAAAAGGGTCAGCCTGTCTGCAAGGGCGGCGGCGGCGCAGCTCCGCTCCCCGCGCGTCTTCGTCCCCGCGTCCAAGCAGGGCGCGCAGCCCCGCTACCCGAATGCGGCCGCCCGCCCGCCGCTGCGCGCTCCTGGCACGGCTTTGGCTCCTCACCTGCTCGCTGGGTAAGTAGCGGGCGGCCGGGCGTGCACGGGCGGGGCGCGGGCGTTCCGAGCGCCGAGGGCAGCGCCGGCGATCAGCCCCGAAGCCCAGTGTCGGAAGCCGGCCGTCTGGCCCCCCGCAGCAGCGCCCCCTCGCGTTGCCCGGTGGACCCGGCTCGGGAACACGACGCCCTGGCCCCTCTCGGCTGCCCGGTTCCTGCCGTGGCCGGTCCGTCTTGCGTCTTCCGCCTCCTCCGCCCGGAGCTGGCCGCCGGCCGAGCTGCAAGCGCGAGGCGTCACTCCCACAGGAAGCGCGAGTAGCTGTGCGACTGCAAGAAACTTTGGAAGGAGGGACGCGGGCCCGCCCCGCCCGCACACCCCGTGCGCTGCCCTTCCGGTGCTCCCCGCACCTCTCCGCGTCCCCCCGAATCTCTTCGCGCGCCCCTTACCTCTCGGCCCTTCCTGCCCGCACCGGCCGCACCACCCGCGGGGCTGAGAGGCGGCGCCCGTGTGCCCACCGACCCCTCTGGAGCTCACTGCGTGGGCCGACGGACATGCCCTGGCCCCCGAGGTTACGATGCCAACTTAGCACGGGTCCCTCCCACCCCCAGATTCCTTGACGGGGGAAGACGGGTACCCCCGGCCTCAGCGTGGGCGGTCCTGGCACGCGGGAGGCCCAGCGGAGCCCCCTCCCCCCAATCTTGGGTCTTTATGGGGGAAAAGTAGAGAACTCTACTGGAAACAATGCCGGTCAGACCTGCTGCTGTAATGCCTCCTCCTATTTTCCTTCCATCCTCACAAGAGCTAGTTCTCCCCTTCATTATAAAATTATGTTGATAAAAGTTTTTCTTTTAAAATAATTGTAATTAACTTTCATGTGAGATTTGTTCAAGTTTGAAAGCTTGTGGAAACATGATTCTCTTCAGTGTTCTCAGGGTTATTGTCGTCTAACCCAGACTTTTGTGTGTCCAGCCTAAGAGGCAGTAATTTCTAGAAATGGCAGAATGGTGCAATTTAGGAAAAGATGTCGTGTTGTTTGTTGCACGTCGCTGTTTGGTGGCCCACCTATAGGAACTTGCTGCCCTGTTTTGTTTGGATTTAAGCTCTCTGAATACGGACCTTATTTTCCTACCCCGGGCATTTCTATAGGTGCTCACTGTGGGAAAATTGAGTGGGATCAATTGGTAATTAATTGCCCACACGCATGATTTAGTAAGTAACAGTGCAATTAAAAATGTGCGGGCACCTTGGGCAGATAAGGCTGTGAGGGACAGTTGGGAGCCACAAAGATCTGCTTTAGCGGAAGGAAGTGCACTGTTGGGGCAGCCCTGGGAGAAGGGAGGCTGGAAGGGAGTGGACTAGGTGACTGCTAGCTGCATTAGTTGGCCTGCTGCCTGGAAGTTTTGCACCTAACCAAAGCTGGTGGGTGGTAGCTGAAATTAAGATTCTATTTATAGCCTTGCACTTTATAGTGCTGTCCTGGGAATATAAGGTTTGTACATAATACAATCAACATATGGGCTGAAAGGCACATTTGTATTGCTAAGTGTACCGATTTTTATTGCCCTTGAGGGGATATCTGCACTGCCCAAAGTTGGAAAGGACATTCAGAATGAACTAAAATGTCAACACAGTTTGAGAGATGTCTATTCGCATTGTGAAGCTTTCAGATAAGCACAACAAAGCCTGAGAACTGGCTTTGTGAACTGGCTTTCGTGGATTGGTGCAGACAGGAAGCTGTATTCTTGGAGATCTGAAATAAATCATGAATTCATTTTATTGAACTCTGCTAGGGCAGGTTGAGGGGCACTCTACAAATCTTGAAATAAAGATTCTTGGAATCTAGCTGAAACAGAGTTCGGAGGCATTTGGGCACTCCGGATTGTGTTTAAAAATGCCTAAACATTCCCTTATGAGGTTGGCCTGACTGAATATAGTTTATTTTCCCCACAAAGTATAGCATATTCATTAGAGAAAAATCCATATAGAAAATTTATTTTAAACACTTATACCGAAAAAATTCACTACAATTTCAGTTCTATAATCAGAGATTTATTCATGCTTTTAGGTCAGCCACTGTGTGATTTCTTGTGGTTGTTCTATAAAATGAGAGCCATAGACTAGATAAAATACTGAAACTTTGCCTGGCTGGTGTGTCCTGCCAGGGCACATGCACAGGTTGCAGTCTCACTCCCCACCCAGTAGGGGGCATGCAGGAGGCAACAGATTGATGAGTTCCTCTCATCGATGTTTCTGTCTATCCCTCTCCCTTCCTTTCTCCCTAGTAATCAATAAAAAAACAACACTGGAATGCATGTAATTAGAGGAAAGGCCATGGGAGGACACAGCTAGAAGATAGTCATCTACAAGCCAAGGAGAGAGGTCTCAGTAGAAACCAGCCCTGCTGACCCCTTGATCTTGGACTTCCAGCCTCCAGAAATGTGAAGAAATAAATTTCTGTTGTTTAAGTCAACCAGTCAATGGTTTCTGTATGGAAGCCCTAGAAGAGCAATAATACCGTGGGCAAGAGGAAGGGTGGAGGAATGCTGATGATGGTGGCAGTGTGTCCAATAGTTTCTCAGTGGCCCTTGCAAATATGGGTAGCCAGAGAGTTCTCTGTAGAGATTTTGGGGTGGGTCTTGGTAAAGCTTATTAAAGGTGGCTGACCCCGCTGGATGCAGGCCATTTTTGCCATTGTTTCATTCTTCTTCCCATTTCCTATTATGTGAATTCGATGGCTGGAGCTATGGTGGCCTTCTTGTGACCAGGAGGTGACTTTAACGGAAGCCAGTGGTAAGTATGGTAAGAGCAGAAAGGATAGCGACCACCTGGGTGCCAGATGGATGTGGAGCACCATGCTAGTAGCCCTGTATCACCTATTACCAGACTTGTATTTTCTGAGATTACGAATAAACCTCTGTCTTATTTAAGCACTAATTGTCTGGGTTGTCTATTAATCCTAATCGGTCCTTCTGTGTACCAATTAATTTTAACATTGTTACAATGTTAAAATAATAGATATTCAGTTTTATCTTTCTTATCTCTATTTCTGCTCTGTATGGGTCAAGATTGTATGTCTTAGTACCTGCCAAAATGAAGGATAATTTTTTTTAAAAAATATATTTTATTGATTTTTTACAGAGAGGAAGGGAGAGAGATAGAGAGTTAGAAACATCGATGAGAGAGAAACATCGATCAGCTGCCTCCTGCACATCTCCTACTGGGGATGTGCCCGCAACCCAGGTACATGCCCTTGACCGGAATCGAACCCGGGACCTTTCAGTCCGCAGGCCAACGCTCTATCCACTGAGCCAAACCGGTTTCGGCTGAAGGATAATTTTTATTCTGAGCCAGATCTTGCTCAGGTTCTTTTTACTGCAGTGAGCCAGATATTTAGAACATCAAGAGTCAGACCTGACTCTGGGTTTTTTGGCGTTTTAAAATTTTTGATTTTTAAGACCGTTTATTTCTAAGGGAATACACAGACATTACTGGCACAGAGTTTAACAATCTGGATGGATTTGTTGTCGTCCGGATAGTCTAGGACCCCCAGGTTGTCATGGCCCCCTTGGTCATGAATTTGACCCAAGGGAGTTTGCTTATAGCCAATACTCAAGCTCTTTGGGCTAGGGTCTAGGGCAGCCGTGGGCAAACTACGGCCCGCAGGCCAAATCCGGCCCGTTCGAAATGAATAAAACTAAAAAAGAAAAAGACCGTACCCTTTTATGTAATGATGTTTACTTTGAATTTATATTAGTTCACACAAACACTCCATCCATGCATTTGTTCCGGCCCTCCGGTCCAGTTTAAGAACCCATTGTGGCCCTCGAGTCAAAAAGTTTGCCCACCCCTGGTAGGGGCAGTGGGATGGGAGGTGGAAAGAGCCTCTTTCAAATGGGGGTGGAATGGGGAGGAGATGTTGAGACCTTTTGTTATCTTCCTCTCTGGCAAATGTGTGGGCCTTCAACTTGAGCAAGTCCCTATAATTGACCTCATTCAGATCACAAAGGGCTGAGTTTATAATTTTGAATTAGAAACATATAAAGCAAGCATAATATCTAGGCAAAGGGATTACTTATGGGGAATTTGCAAATGTTACATGTTTTGCCTCCTTGTAGCATTAAGTGTGATCCATCTTTGGTGTTGCACAGATTCTTGCTTAAGAACAATATACAGGAGTGTTAATTCCATCTCTCCCAATAGAAAGGAAAAGTTATGGTGAGTGTTGGCATTCATCAGACCCATTATTGATCCAGAGGCTTCTTTAATACCCATTTCAAAGCTCTGTTCACTAAGCCCTCTCAAAGAAACCCGATTCAGTGTAGGTGCTGATTTGGACTACTAAAGGTTAACCATTTAAAAGTGGTATTAAAATAGTAGGAAAAACTGTACTCAAAGTTTCATTCCATTTATTCAAAAAAGGGTTGAATATCTACTATGTATCAAGGATTGGGGATTTTGCAGAAAGAAGACAGATCTAGTTTCTGTCCAGCCTCATGGAGCTTGGAGTCTTGAAGGGAAGGTAACATTAAGTACTAACTACACGGGAAACTGCGTAATTGCAGCTGTACTCGGTGCTGTGGCAGGAGTTCATTCAGGGAGATGTGTGCTTTAGCAGGAAGTCTGCATACAGCAGTGGTTCTCAACGGGGTGATCTCAGAAGTAGAGATGGTGAGGGTGTTCCTGGAATGTTTGTCCTGGCCTAGAGACTTTGGGGCTGTCATGGGTGATTTGTCAAGGAGTCCTACTGGCATCTGGAGTCAGTGGTGGTGTTGAACATTGCTCAGCATGTTGTTGAGCAATGCAGAGGACAACCTCCCTCAAAGAATCAGCTATCTGGTCCAAAGTGTCAGTAGTGCCATTGAGAAACCTTGGAGGAGGGGCTCAAGAAAGGCTTTCTAGAGGAAGGGACATCAGAACACAGAACTGAAGGGGAAGCAGAAGTCAGTGGAGGGAGGAAGGGAGCAGGTCTGGCAGGGGGGAGAGCTTGGTGCTGGAGGAATGGAGTGAGAAGGGACTTGTCTGAAGAGGCTGAGAGAGGGGCTGGGAAGACCAGTAGGGACCTGGTTATGCAGGGTGAGCATTTTGCCCTAGCCTAGAGCAAAGGGAAGCTGCTGAAGGGCTGTCATAGGCAGTGAGACATTTGACTT